CAATAATTTTTTTTTATTTTGATTCTGCAAAAATATTGGATTAGAATAAAAAAATTTTTACCGAATTTGGTCGAGAAGTTATTGAGAAACCTTCGCTAGAAGTTTAGAAAATTTTAAAAACTTTGGATGATCGCGAAATTTTGATTGGTCGTGCGAAATTTTTTAGGTTGGTAACGCAAGGACAGTTTATAAAATTGTGGGATTTCCTAAATTCAACCCTAAAATGATTTATGCCCAAGTTAGTCTATTTTTGCTCTTAATTATATCGAAAGCTTTATGTAATTTCGATTTCACGAGACATTTAAGTACAAAAGGCCTATATCCTATAACGTCAAATACCACACCACCTCTAGAATCACCTGAGTCGTGTGTATTGGTACAAGTGCACTTGGTCGCCCGACATGGTAAACTTTATTATTAAAAAAAAATATACTCGAATTTTTCTAACAATATCATTTATTAGGGGCAAGATATCCCACTGCTAATGACGTTAAAAAGTTCGATATACTAGATAGTTTATTCGCTAATATTCCTTTGGCAAAAGATTGGGTGTTTATTATGAATTTTTTTTTTTCTCTCTTCAGCCACAATATATAGTGTGTTTAATCTATTTTTAGCGAAATCCATTTAATTATTCAAAAGCAGGACTCCTTACTGGTCGAGGAGAACATGAACTATACTTGTTGGGTAAAAGAGCTCGTCAGCGGTATTACGAATTCTGGCATAACATCACGTACGATTCTAACATTATCGTGTTTCAGAGCTCAGCAGTTTCAAGGTATTAAATTAGATATAATAAGGATAAAGGCATTTATTATTTAATTTTTGGATGGTAAAACTATATATGCTAGGAACCGGAAACCAATCTAAATCCTAAGCGAAAGAAAAGATCAGGGTTGGGCAATAGGACAAGTGGGTTGTCCGATGAAATTTAAATTTCTAAATTGTCCGTAATTTTTTTTAAAAATAAGAAACTTTTGTTCAAAGTCAAGCAAACCAAATAATTAGGACAGTAATATACTGCCAATATTTATATTTGTTAATAGATCAATGGACACCGGACAAATTTATATGTCCGGTGTCCGGTAAAATTCATCGGACATAGAGACTGCCCAACCCTGGAAAAGATGACGACAACTTCTTTTCTTAAAGCTCCGCATGGGCTTGGAATACCCATGATACCTGTGTATAAGCTAAGGTTGTTAATGAGTTGGGTTGGGTTGGATTGGTTTGGGTTGACCCAATCTTCAACCCACTCCACTAAATTAGACTTACTCCCAATGTTTTGCTCCGGGCTGCACCAAATTTAAAGGCATAATTTTCAACCCAC